CACAAAAATTCACTCACAAACTGCTGCAGAAAAAGCTGATCTATGCTCATAGTTGATATAGATGGGTTTTTTTTTATTCGGTCCCTGATTTTATGTGTTCATAACTTCTTTGATTATCTAATAAGTGAACTGTTCGTAGTAATGTTTTGATTCAGAACAGGATGTTCACAAATCTCGTGTGGATTATAGAATATACCTACATATACAATGATTATTTACCAGTGTTTAAGTGCAGCTGTCATCGAGTTATGTTTATTTAAAGGGTGTGTAAAGAAATAAGGTGTTACCCCACGTAGAGTATTGATATAACATCGATTAATATCAACTTATTGATCAGCTAATAATACTGCTTATTGATTGGTTGGATTTCAATTTCCTGTCAATTCATTGGATGATGCTAAAATTTATGATCATTGATTGGTCCAATTTGAATTTCCTGAATATTGATTGGTCAATTATGAATTAAATGATGACATCTACAAGTAGTTATGAAAGTCAACAAATGTATGATTTATTTTATTGATTGAAATGTTCAGGTAAATCAGTGTGAATTATGGGATTGAGAGATGTCATTTGATAATTTAATTGGATATTTGTTTGTGTAAATTATCAAATATTTTGATGTATTGAATATATAATCTATACCTATTAACTGATGTAGGGATGAATAAATAATAAATAAATGAATTGATACCAATAAATGAAATAACAAACAAATGAATATATGAATTAATGAATGAATGACTGAACAAATGAACGGATTGAGAAATATATAAACTAATAAATAAAGAAAAATTTAAAAGAAAAAATTGAACAAATGAATGCATGAATGAACAAATGAATGAATGAATGAACAAATGAATGAATGAATGAACAAATGATAAAATGAACAAATGAATGAATGAATGAATGAATAAATGAATGAATTTATGAATGAATTAACAAATGAATAGTCAAATGAATGAATGAATGAATGAATGAACACATGAATGAATGAACACATGAATGAATGAATGAATGAATGAATGAATGAACACATGAATGAACAAATGAATAAATGAACGAATGAATGAATGAATGAATGAATGAACTTATGAATTTATGAATGAATTAACAAATGAATAGTCAAATGAATAGTCAAATGAATGAATAGTCAAATGAATAGTCAAATGAATAGTCAAATGAATAGTCAAATTAATAGTCAAATGAATGAATGAATGAATGAATGAATGAATAGTCAAATGAATAGTCAAATTGAAATGAATGAATGAATGAATGAATAAATGATTATTTTTTAACTTCATTTTACTCATTTTTCCAGTCATCGGCAATAAGAAATGTAATTATGTATTTTAATGTATATATTGCATGTCTCTACAATCTACAGACCTGGTTCCCAACCTGGGGCTTTTCACCCCCTGGGGGTATGGGACTAGGGTGCCAGGGGTTTGGCTAACTGGTATAGGAGAAGAATTTATTTTACCCTCACATCATCACATGCTGGGAATGTGGATGTAACAATTTTTTGAGGATGTGAAAGGTCCTTGTGATTGCGCCAGGGGTGTGAAGGCTGAAATAGGTTGGGAACCACTGGTCTACAGCTTTTAATTTTTATTTCGCAAAAATTTCTTCTTTTTCATTTGTCAACCATGAAAAGGATGCAAAAACTCAAAACTGGAATTTAATTTCTATGGAAAGGCGGCAACAGGATCAAATTTTTGTTTTTGAACCATTTTTTCTATAGAGAATTTCTATGGAATTGATTCAACAATATCAGATTCCCATTTTGATTTTCATTTAGAACCATGTTTTTCAAAAGAGAAAATGCATATTTACATTTTCTTGAGGTGATGGAGTTCATTCAACTCATCTCATTCAATTTTTTTTTTTTGTGCTTAATTTATAAAGTTTTGTGGTGATGGATAAGTTTGTCATCATTCAGTTACATGGTTCTTCAATGATTGCAATAACAATAAAGGACAAGTCTTATTCTTAGATGGTCTACATTCAGTTGTGTGCTAATATAAAAAGTTTCGAAAACCATTTTGTATTGCCTTCAGCTACCTATTAATATAACACTTGTTCAACTGATATACCAAAGGACATTACAAACAGGGCTCTTCTCGAGCAATGGGACCATCAATTTCAATAGTTTGAAAATTAGAGAAATTACTTTTAAAAATAATGAAACTGAGCTAGATCACCTGAAAAACATAGAATAAGATTTGATACTTTTAAAAAAAACCCTGGGTGTAATGAATGAGGGTAGAAAAATCATGCATTGCTCACAATTTCCTCAATTAGCTATCCTGATGAGAGTTTTCTTTCCAAAACTTGTGACAGAAGCATGAAATGAGCCAAAGTCAGTTTGAACAGTTGTTTCAACAGAATAAATACCTAAGTTTCCTTACTACCTGTGATTTTAGAGCATTTTAGGTGAAAAGGTCCCCTCCCCACACACTCTCTCCACACCCAATGATCCCTCCCAGTGAATTCCGTGGCCACCCTCCCACTGAATTCTGTGGCCACCCATGTTCAGATTGTTAAGCAAATACTTTTAGGTAACATAATTATCTGGATTTAGCTTTCTTTAATTTCGAGTTTGTTGAAAATCTCATGTTTCTTGGATATGGTTCACGCCTTGATATATATCTCCATGGTTACCAGACTTTCCTACTTCCTGTCCACTACTTAATGGAATCAATAAATCAAAACAAAATTACTTGTTTCTTGGCAAAATTTAAATTAAAAAAAACTTACACTGCTATTAACAAATACTTTCAAAATGAATTTATTATGCCAGACTCCGTGCTGTTCTTGTCTCCCGAGTTATTCTTCTAAAAAATATATCAAAATCAAGATTCTGGTTAGCCCCTTGTAAGTTCCCATAGGGGTTTCTTGTCGATCTTGATGCTGCCAAAATCACTTTGGTCTTCAGTTGATTGCAGTTTTTATTGATATAATTTGGACAAAACTACCTGAGTCCAGCCACTTAGGTATTTTCAATCTTTTGGAACTTCAAGTCTATGCCTTCATCTTCATCGAAATGTTGTATTTTTTTTTCAGTGATGGGAGACTATAAAACTCCAGGGCTAACAGACGGTCAGAGAAAGAGAGCCAGTATAGCCTGTGAACTGATTACAAACCCTCTCATGTTAGCAGTAGATGTAAGTGTCATGAATTTTACAAAGTTATTTTGGCTGTTTGAGTAGTTTAATGTTCAGAAGATTATCCAAAATCTGGATTTCAATTTGCTCATTTAGATTCTTAACCATTAACCATTTCTTTCTGTCGTTGATGAAGGTTAGGAAGGACTGACCTGGGAAATGTACTTTTGAATTTTCAACGTGATTTCCCACTGTCAGTGATGCAGGTCGGAGAAACATCTAGTTGTTCAGATACAACTATAAACTGAGGTCTCATATGCTACAGACTGAGCAAGAACAAGAGCTGCTGCTGTATTGGCAACAATTTCCCTCATTGTACACTGACTGCATGGGGTTGCATGCCTCACCCACTTAGGTGCAGAACAGTAGGACATAAAACATAATCTCATTTCATTTTAGAGTATCTCTTGACAAAAAAAAACTTATCCTGAATTTTCTAATCAAATTTTATATTATTTTTTTGCAGGAACCTACGAGTGATCTGGATTCCTACACATCCATTGCCTTGATTAAAACTTTAAAAGCTTATACTCACAAATCAAATAAAACCGTTGTCATGACGATACATCAGCCTTCCAGTCAGATATTCAACATGTTCGATAAAATACTCCTCTTAAATCAGGGACAGGTTGTGTATTTTGGGGAGTCGAATAAAGTGATCAGTTTTTTCGAGAATATTGGATTACATATGGAGCCCAATTACAATCCTGCTGATTTTATTTGTGAGTCTTTCCTTCAAGAAATTTGTTTATTTCTTCAAAATATTTACTGTCAAAGCCAAAAGTTAAAATTCATGTCAAATTTCAATCACTCAAATTTAAAACTGCAAAATTTTTGGACTAGCTCCTTTGTCCCATTATGCAAACGTTTAATTCAAGTTGGATAGTCCAATTCAATGTCATTTTATTGTCCTTAAATGGTTTTGAAATGGTTTTGAAGATGTGTTGAAGATGTTTTGAATTGTATTTTTCAGTAGAGAAATTGGTAGAAGGGGGAGGCACAAGAGAAAGAATTATAGAAGCTGCCATAGATTTTAAGTAAGGAAATTCATAATCTTTGAAGTCATTCCTTAATGTCCACGACGCTTCAATGGAGACAATGCCGTCTCCACGACCCCATCAGACGCCATCTTTGCTTTGTTGTAAAGTAAATTTGAAACTTTGTCAAGAACAACTAGTGCCACTTTGCACAATGGTTTGTCAATGTGACATCTTTTTTGCTTTTAAAATTGAGTATAATCAACAGATTTGACTTTTGATCCTCAAAAGGTAAAAGGGACATAACTCCATATTATGTGGTGATTATTTTTTTCAGAAATTCCGAAGCTTGGCCTGATGTGTTGAAATTATCATCTTCCAATTACAACTCATCATTAAGACTCGATGCTGAAACGATTGAGGCTGCTAAAAAACGCCCTACCCTGGACAGACGTAACCCTATAAAAAAATTCACCAATAAAATCATCACACGAGGGAAAAAGAATTCTTCAGAGGAAGAAGGTAAGAAAAACATGCTTATCTCGGCTTCTGGTGGTATTATGACCATCATCCTTACATATTTAAATATGTAGGAGAAATGGTGATTGCTTCATCAACATGCAGGTCCTATAGCACAGTCGGTTAGAGCGTTGGTTCCTTACATGACGTCCCTTGCCTGGTTACGTCGAGCGAATGCCGGCTATAGATTCCGATATAGATCAGCGTGTGATAGTCCGATGAACTTGAATAAGTTGTCTTCACTCATATATCGGTACCAATATTCCAGGGAAAATCAATTCTGATAGGTTTGGCCAAGGAACAGCTAGTAGAAAGGATCCTTCACTCGGAACCTAAGTTGCTATCCTTCTAAAACAAGTCTTGTTACCAGACACATTTTACCTCATACATCCAGTAAACCCAGCTGTAAATGGGTTCGGATAATTCAGGAAAAATCAGCTCCAATAGGTATGGCTAAAAACCGCTAGTAGACCAGAAGTTGCTATTCATTGCTATTTGACATGAAATTCATGGCTTAATGCTTAATTTTTGAGGATTTTCTTTCAGATATCGGTAGTGTAGATATGAGTTTAATGGAGTTAGAATACCCAGAATTATTCGTTGATAAAGACAAATGGCCGACAAGTTTTTTTACGCAGTTTAAACATCTGACAGTCCGAGCGTTTTGGCAGTGTAAATCTCGAGTATTCAGTAAGATGAAGATTGTAGAAACTGTTTTATTGTGTGTCCTCGTTAGTCTGGTCTGGTTTCAACTTCCACGAACTGAGGAAACTTTACGAGACAGAATGGGAGCTGTAAGTCCGATTTAAAACACAGTTATTTCCCTTGGGAGATCATTTTTTGTCGGAAAAAATCACTTTCAAGTTGAATTTGTTCACTCTATGAGCACTGAAACAATTTTTTGCAGTTGGAATATCAACCCTTCTGTTGGAATATCAGCAGTGGCGGAGCCAGCCTTCTGAAACTGAGGGTAAAATAGGAGGCAGACTGACTCAATGGGGGGACAACTGCTGAGGCTGAATTCAAATTTTAGCTACTCTGTGGTAGTGTTATAGTCGCAAGCCTCTCATAGGGTTCTCTCAAGAAATTTTTTAGAAAAAAAGAAATGATTTTGTGCATTCTGACACATATTTTGGAGAAAAAAGGTAGACATTTAGATCTGTTGAAAATAAAGTGGGGGTAAAATTGGGGGTGAACTTTTCTAGTGGCCCACTGAATATCAGGGGTCATTCTATAGATTAGTTTAAGACTAATTAAAGTAATATCTAAGTCAGATGTATGTGTACAAAGTGTGTGCTTTTCATTCAGTGCAGTGCTAATATAATACAATAATTTCATGTGTTTTTGTTTCAGATTTTTTTCCTGATCACACTATGGGGAGTAATTCCTTTAATTGATGCCATCACTGCCTGTAAGTTGTAAATTATCAATATTTTATAAAGTTGTTTGAAAATATTTAGCAGTCGAAGGTCCCCATGTCTTGTGCCTAATCTGAACTTTCAGTTTAATCCCGAAAACAGTTTTCTTTCCGCTTCCAGACAGTTGCCTGCATCAACATATGCCTACATTAATGCACTCTCGGCAGATATCGGAAGCTAGCACCTTAGGGTACTTTTGGCCTGCTTCATGTTGATCTGTTATTTTTCTGTTATGTAAGGATCATTTGACATTAATGATTAAGTCTTTATGCAATTTAATTGTAAGTAAACCTGAAGTCATATTTTCAATCTGACAATTGTTACATTCTTTCCATTTGTATTCAAGTTGCAACTGAAAGGCCTGTTATTGATAAAGAAAGAACAGCTAACTGGTATCGACTGTCAGCTTATTACATGGCCAAGATGACAGCCGAGATCCCCCTGGTTCTGGTGCCGCCTGTATTGTTCCTGATTCTAGCCTACTGGATTATTGGGCTGAACAATGTGGAAGGATTTTTTGGGATGATTTTCACCACTATCATTAATGTCATCACTGGTCAGGTAGGGATTATATACACTATTTATGAGTTATTGCCCTTGACTTTGCTGAATTACTTGATGCAATCCTCATGTTATTACCCTATAAAATTAAAGAAAGAAAGAAAGATTTCTTTTACACAGATACTGTACATGGATCCCTTATCAAGTTTTAAATTGAAATTTTGTGGAATTAGTCAAATTCCTTTGGACATTATTAGCAGCTTTGGCAATATTAACATCATAAAACACTTAGTTTTAGATGAACTTCCAGACCCAGTAATGGTGCAAATTGATCAATGTCCCTGATACACATAATATGTTTAGAAAACAGTTTTACAATCTCTTAATTTGTTTAAAATCTATTTCAGAGTATTGGTCTATTTCTGGGAATAGCGTTTACCCACGTAGAGACTGGTATTTCTGTATCAGTTATTGTAATGACGGCCTGTATGTTGCTAGGTAAGCCTGATTGATAACACGGACATTGGTAGTGACAGACTCCAGGAACTAGGGGTACACATAGGGCTCAGACTGATATAATGGGTGAAAACCATCTGTGACAAGGATAACAACTTGGGTTCTCAAGCTGGTCCTGTGTTCTATTCAGTCTGTGGCCTTTTGGCAATGATCTTTCCCTGTTAAAATGTTAAAAACTGTGTTATTATTTTATGTTTTATTTCAGGTGGATTCTTTACCAGAAATCTACCATTTTGGTTGGATTGGATCAAATATTTCTCCTTCATATTTTATTCCTTCCATTGTGCTGTGGTTCTGGAATTTTCTTCTGACGCTGACGATGTGAAGTAAGTAGGCTTTTTATGTGTCATACATGATTATTTACACGGTTTTCATTAAAAAGAGAGAAAGAGACAACCACATTTTAAGGTTAAAAACTCAATTTCATGGGGATCCTTTCTACATACAAACCAGACTTGATTAGAATTGAGGCAATAATCTTGGTTAAATCCAAATGCAGGAATTTCTTGCACTTACTAGTTAATATTGATGTTGTTCATCTAAATTCCATGCCTTCATTTCTATCTGTAATTCTATCATCCCCATCGCCAGGAATGAATTGGTGCTGGGGCTCAGATTTTGTAGAATTAAAGGCCCAGAGAACTCATTTCTGATAATTTCAAAGTGTCAAAAAATGTATCAAAACCTATATCTTTTTTATTTTGTACAAAGACATTGTAAATGAATCAATCTCTGCTGAACTGAAGAAGGTTTTGCTGGGGCTTAATTCTCACTTGCTGGGGCCCAGCCCCCATGGACCCCACCCTAATGACGGGACTGAATTCTATACTTTAGATAATGCTTTTGAACTAATTCTTTCCTAGGTCATCACTTGAAATATTTTGTCATTTCAGCTTTTCCCTTGTCAAGAATGAATCACATTTCATTGATTGTACAAATTGTATAATTTTAGCGTATGGTCTTTGACCCAGTTTTTCAATGTTCCTCTCTTATAGTAATCTTTTCATTCCCATTCTATTGCTGATTTTGACACTTTTTTCCTAATTTCAGTTGTTTCCCTTCCAAGAACGAATCAAATTTCATTGGCTGTAAAGGAATCAACTCGACCAATATTGTTTCAGCTGATGTCCTGGATTTTTATGGTGTTCATCTGACCTATATAGAGTATCTCCTGCCGTTGGTGTTCTTCGCAGCGTTATTCCGATTACTCGGGTATCTTTTACTGAGATTCGTTCACTATCCAAAACTTGTCTAATTTTAATAAACCTGGGGTGTGTTGTCAGAAACGTCATTACTTTAAGATAATCATACATGATTGACAGGGGCAGACTGAGGGGTCAGGGGCAGACTGAGATGTCAGGGGCCCTATGATTCCAATTACAAACAAAATTTTGAACAAATATTTAAAAAAAAAATATCTATTTTTGTCTATTCAATTTCATTGAAAAAATAAAAACCTAAATCTAGATTTTGTGTAAAATGGGTGAGGGGCCCTTGATACCCATCTATTGAGGGCCCAGAGCTGCTCCTATGTACAAGGATTTGTGGTTAGATTCTACACAGATTGGTTGAATTTCTGACAACAGCCTCTGAATTTTGTTTATTAGAATTTTAGGGGCCATAGAATTGAAATATTTAATCTAATTATTTGAAAGATTTGTGAAACTTGTTGCTGGGAACATCTTAACGTTCTTGTAGGAATACAGATAGATATAGATAAAAAGATTCTTGTTATGTTATATATAAGTCTATAAATTTAGAAATATAAAAATTGTAGAGAAATATAGAAATATTAAAACAGAACTTGAATCATGTTGTTACTCAGAGTTTCATGCCATTCGACATGATTCAAGTTCTGTTTTAATTTATGGTATTTGGACTGGATATTTGAGAGATTTGTGAAACTTGTTGCTGAGAACATCCAGTAGGAATATAGATATAAATTTATCCATATAACGATAATTATGTGGACTCTCCAAATGGATGAAGTTCATCAATTTTATGCATAATATAATACAAACAATGTAAAAAATGAGTAAAATTATGAAAGTGACATTAGTGTGGGGTAGGGTATTTTTATGTGGTGGTTGGAAATGAAATGTTTGTTGAAAGTAGGGGTGCAGAAACAAGGTATGGCGTGTGGACTTAAATTTGTCCGGAAGATTTCTGTTAAAAACATACCTTGTTTATTTGCATCTTTAAGGATTGTAAAGAGGTTTTATATTACTTTACTTTTATTCGTATTGGGAAATTTATGGCTTCCATTTGTGATAGTGAAATCTTAAAACATTTTTTTGAAAACTAAACAGTTTAAGTTGAATTGCAAGAACCACAGACATCTGATTGAAAATTGGAATGGTGCGAATTGATGCTATCAGTGTCTCTGATACACATAGAAAGATTAGAAAACCTCTTAACAATCACTACAAGATTTATAGCTTTAAATGTGGATTTGGTCACTAAAAAATTATTTGTTGTTGTGTTTATGAAAGTTTTTTGTTACTTGCCTTTTTGAGGGTCCTGTTAACTTCTGTTTACCTCAAGTTGAAAAAGGGTAGTCAATATTTGCTCTACCAGCAAATAGAGCTGATGCAACAGGTACTACATTTCTTGCTTCATTTGTTAGAGTTATCATAGAGTTATCAATTTTTGTTAAAATTTTATTGTCAATTTTGGTTTTACCATTAACGTTAATAGGAGTAATCCTAAACAAACAATACTCTCTCACTAGAGGTTAAGCCTACTTGCCTGTGCCTGTGCTTTCGTAACATTACTTAACTTTACTTTTACAACCTGAAATCCCTGATTTTATGAACATAATTTGACTTTCAGATTTTCAAATTTTTCAACAGAATATTCAGTTTCAACTCTGCTTTGAGGCTAAGATATTTTCATCTTTTATATACAATGAAAAACAGCGTGAATTGCTTTTTTTAAAGTTAATATCAACCACAAACGGCTTAAGTTCTGTTCTGCAACGTATACAGATTCAGCTTTAGGGAATTGGAAGAGGATTGCCGAATGTACCTACCATACCTCTATGGTTTCATAGTTTATCTTGTTGTTGATACATGTTTTGGATATGCAATCCTTATCAGGACAACTTTGACTTTTGAAGAGTGAGTTAACTTTGCATTATTAGGCTTAAAGGAAAGTAAGTCAACTTGTGTTAAATGGAGTTGTCTTTCCATCAATTATTGTAAATAATTACACTGTTTAAACTGCACATGTCTAATTTTTGTGTTGTAGTCCCGCTAACTGAAAGTATTTTATCAAAACAGAGCTGTTTAAAGTATTCAATCATTTATTAATATGCCCATTACTTATATACAAGTTATACTCCATCTAAAATAGATTTAATATTCATTAGAACACAAGACATTCTAGAGCATACTAGATAGTCCACATAGCTTTTTATATTTTTAATATCCACTATCAGAAAAGGAAACATTGGTCTGGCATTAATCTGGTTGTATCTCATGATTTTGACCTTTGTAGAAGTGGCAGTGTTTGGCGCAAAGCAGACCATGCTTACTCTTTTCAAAATACCTTGTGGTGCTCTTTTGGTGGAGTCCACTACTATACCTTTACTCCTGAATTTGCCATACGAGATTTTTGATTGACATAAATTGTCTAGCTTGTACGAATTTTTATCACAGGCATTTTTGACTCACTAGTCATTAATAACTCACTGCAGGCATTAATAACTTACTGCAGGCATTAATAACTCACTGCAGGCATTAATAACTTACTGCAGGCATTAATAACTTACTGCAGTCATTAATAACTTACTACAGTCATTAATAACTCACTGCAGGCATTAATAACTTACTGCAGGCATTAATAACTTACTGCAGGCATTAATAACTTACTGCAGGCATAACTCACTACAGGCATTAATAACTCACTGAAGGCATTAATAACTCACTGCAGGCATTAATAACTCACTGAAGGCATTAATAACTTAGTTATTAAACAAATTAACAGTACATTAAACAATTGAACTGAATTATGTAAATTAGCCTATATAGGTTACCTTAGTGACAATATAGTTATAGGTTATACAATATTTTTAGAACAGTTATAGTCTATATCTATTGTTTTCAACTCATAGGTTTTGTTTTTAGCTTTCCAATTTGGAAAACATTTGTTTTTGTGTATTAAAATCATGGCATTGTTGATAATCAAGCACAATTTTTTTGTATAATTTTGAAACATAACCCTGGCTTAAATTGCCTGAAAATATGGAATAGAATACAATTTGAGGGTTTAGAAATATATATTGAAGACATTTTTATAGCTGTTTTATTTGTTAGTGTTCTAGATTTGTTATATGTTTATACTCCAGCTTAGATATTTGTGTAAATCCAGGATGAATGAAAAAACACAAGCAGTCTATTTTATTTTCAGGTAGTATAAGTAGTAATAAACACAGTATTTATCTGGTGCACCTAGGTTTAGATTCATATTATTCTACCTCAATATTAAATAGACTGTTCTTGCATTTGAACCCCTTCCAGATTGAAAAAATTAAATTAACTTAATGAAATAATTCATATTGACCTAGAAAGGAATAACCTTGATCCCTGTGTTGAAAGGTTTTAATAATTAAATTTCTTTTTTTCAACCAGAATCAGGTGCTGGTGTTCATGTTAAATCCTTCAAGATTTGCTATATTACCTCTGGTGTAATGTAGACCATGCTTGTTATTTTGTTGGTAAATTAGATTGTTATTTCTATATAGCTGTAGAATGTATGTATCATCATATTTACATATCTTATTTATAATTCTACTTCCAAAATAAACTCTTTTCTACTCTACTGAACTTCTTCATTTCAAGAATAAGTGGGTTTCCTGGATATGACTGGTCTTTCCAAGCAAAATGGACCCAGATACTTTGTAACCTGGAGGTGTGGGGGTTTCATACCAGCATAGGTCAAGAAACCTTGGATTTATTAAGCCAGTAGCATATTAGTGATGTTAGTTAGGGGGGGGGCTGACAAGACCGTGTCCTAAAAAGTCCCTATTGTTTTGTTACTAACAATATTCCCTGCCATTCTTGACTAACCCTCCTAACCGGCATCACTGACAGAGGAAAATTAGGTTGAAAATTTCAACAGGATTATCTTGGCCTGAATCATGTACCAGACTTGATGAACTACTGCAGCTTCTGAGCATTGGTTTATTGGAAAGAAAAAAGATCTATGAGTTTTATGACTTTTTTTTAATTTTCAAATATTTTTCTTATTTTATACATGAAGTATGTATTTACTGGTTGCCAGATGAGGGTGGGGCTCCTCTTCCAAAACCTCCTCTCTGGAATAAAAAAGAATCAAATAAATAAAGTTTAAATCTTGAAGCAAACAAATGAAATTCATGAAATGAAATTACGTCCAACTTTTCTGCACCTAGTTGGACTAATGAAGATGGTTGGGGTAAACAACACAAGCCGTGACAAAGAATCTAAATCATGTATTTAACAATTTACTGAATATGTACCAATACATAAGTTTGAACCGTCAGTCAAAAAAAAAAAAATCAGATTTAATTAGCAATTTTAAATAAAAATCTACATGGTAAGTAAGGTGATAAAACACTTTGCTTTGTAGTCTGAAGGGCCTCACTTGTGCACCAATAGATGCAAGTTCCCTCATACTACTGAGCTAATAAGCTGTAGTAAATATAATTGACATAAGAGGGCAAAACTGAAACACTCTTTAAAATCTAGGATAATTGATGACTGGTTGAAAATTCTGGGAGTACCATCAACACATACCAAGAGTGAGCAAGTGTCTGATTAAGCCAATAGAATTTCAAAGCTGGTATATCAACTAGGCCTATATCTAGATTTATATAAGAAACTTACGAATTTAAATTCTGGGTTGGCTCCAGCACCAACATCAGCCTTCTTATCACCTCCAGCTGAAAAAAAATAAATATAAGATGTCACAGTGTTGCAGTTCAATATCACTATAAACAAGCCAGAATGAATGGATTTCTGTATTTGATTAAGGCTAGAAATTCATGCAAATAAAATGAAACTGAGTTTTACTTCACATTTTTCTGCACCTTAAGGCTCATGAAGACAGATAACATCATGCAATGTGCAATGAAAGAAATTTTGCCAGGACAGGCAGAAGCTGACAGATCTTTTAAGTGCTGTCTGTAGCACAGGAACAGGAGACCACAGTTTATTTTTCAATCCTAACAAATTTATGTTTTTTTCCATGATACCCCTTACACAACTGACATGCATGCATTGCACCATAAGAGAAATATACAGCCTATTTAAAATCAAGCTTTCTCAAAGCCAAGATTTGCTAGAACACGAGTATATCATTGAAAACTTACGTGGTCCTGATTTTCTGTATTCTCCTCTATCAGCATGAGCTCCACCACCTCGTCCAGCGCCATCACCAGCTGAAATTATAACATTAATTAAAGGATACCAAGAACCAAGAATTTTGATGATTTCATCTCACTTTCACTCACTTCAGGGAATAATACAATCAAAATACATTGATCTTCAAGGAGAAAAACATACCAAGACGCTTATTATAGCCAACAAAATGCTTCAACATATTCCAGTACTCTTTCTTTTAGTCGTCAAGGTCTAGTGTAGATCTCCTGTCTTGAATTTAATTTGATAAATGGAGACCTATAATGTTTTTACACAAATAGGTATAAGGAGTGCAATAACTGGAACATGGGTGACATATAGCCCGATAAACTGGTGCCATTTTCTTAGTCTGGTTGGTTTCCAATTCTTCCCAAGAATCTTACATTTCTGTGAATAAATCCTTGGTGAACTGCCTGAAAACAATCGAAAACAGCACTTACTCAATGAAAAATTGTTTTTTTTCAATACTTACAAGGTTTGGTAGAAATTCTGGGTCGTACTGTTTCTGATCTCTGTTGTCTTTTTAAAGTGGCTGGGACAATCTCTGGGGGGAGGTGAAGGAAGTCACGTAAGAATTGGATGCCCTCATTGGTCAGGTACCAGTAATAATGACGCCATGCAAACTGTTCTCGCACTAATCCTCTTGATTTTAAACTCTACAATAAAGAAGATAATTTTTTTACGTCAGTATATTCTACTAATCCTACATCAACACAATGCTGGTATCAAACAGATCACAGTGACTCCACCTCTTTCTAATCCTAGTGCTTTACGACCTAATTGTAAGCAGTTTCCTCTTGCAAAGAATTCAAACTTAAATTTTAAAACTGTTAGATCCAATCTCTTACAACTCAAGTAAAGAATATGTGGATTATAAGGACATTACTTTGAAATCAACAAATATGTTGCTGTGCCTCACAAATATGGTGCATTTCTGACCCGCTTGGCTCTCTCAGGCGACAGGTCAAATCATATCAGAGCGGTATCAAGAGTCAAGGTTTCTCACATGTGGGGTTCAACACAGAATAAAGAAATGTTACTTACTGTTAGAGCTTTGATAACATGTAAATTGGGTACATTGATATTGGGATGTCTAGGTGCAAAGAAATCTTTCTTGGCAACCATGACTCCCTCTTTGAAGAGGTACTCGTAGATTGTAACTCTGTTCTTCTTGGGCATCAACATCCTGAAAATAACCAAAGTGTCAGTCCAGGTTCCAAGTACCAAGTACCAAGTGAACATTGGCAGTTTCTCAGTATAGGCCTTTTATTTTAATTTTAAATTTCTCTTAAGGAAAGTACCTGCACCGGTACAGGCTTTATCTTTATGATCTATAAATGGTCTACAAAAGCATACAATACTATACACCCGTAAATACATTGGTGGGACTATAACTTTTGAGAAAAATATGATTGTATTTCGCTTCAGATGCAACTGATCGTCCATTTTCATGTTAATGATTATTTCAGTCGTCAACCCATGTCATTTTCAACTATCATTTCCAAGGTTTTAATGGGAGAATCGGGCTTGATTTCCAGAAATCTTAACAGAATATTGTGTTAATTTGCAATCTGCAAATATATTTAGATAATTTCTAATATAGAAGTTCAAGATTTCGATGGATTTCTCAACGTATGAAAACTCACTTGGCTCTATCAGTATGGCCTAACCGGAAAAGAACGAAACTCGCCGGTGTGCTACAAAATACACTTCCGGTTGTCGCGAGTGTAAACAAACCAACATTTTACACGTAAATCTTTTGCAATTATGCCTCAGATAAAGCATAGATTCAGACAAAAACATGTCACAGCCATTGGCTTTATGTGTATTTTGATGTGCCAACTTTTTGTACCGGTTGGATGTAGGATCTTCAAAGAAAATGAGCTTAAAACTTACAGGTGATCTACATTTGATATTGCAAAAGAGGTGGGGGGGAGGGGGGGATCTTGGAAATCACTGGAACCAAGCCTTAATTTGAAACATCCAGGGATCTCAAAAATTTAAGACGTTGGCGACACTGGCCTTGGCATTGGATGGTGGGTGACCATCTAGTTAGGCTAGTGATCAAGCAGGTGACAGCCAAATCCAAGAGACTGACAACTGTCATAATAGCTATCAGAGGATGGAATAGGGGTAGATGTTTCGGACTAGAGACAACTCAGCTGTAAATGGGTAGTTCAATGACACAGGAAGTTTGGTTAAAGACCAGCTGATAGGAAGGATTGTCATGGATCTTTTTAGTAGTTAGGCCCTTCCTTATATATATGCATGTTTCCATCATTCTTTAGTTATGACAGTGATGTGGCAAAGCTAGCATTATTTTACCTATATTCAGTGTCAGTAATGTCTTTCGTTATTCTATTACAGAGACAGAGTTTCAGCCATGTTCCATCATGCTTATGATGCTTACCTTAAATATGCTTACCCTTACGACGAACTTCGACCTTTAACCTGTGATGGGCAAGACACCTGGGGCAGGTAATACATGGAAACATATTTCATATTTTCACGATAGAAAAATAATAATATATATTCAAAAATAATTACTAGAATGATTAATAGATATATATTCAATACTCATTTGAAACTGATAAAGAAATTGACTTTATGGATGAAATTTTTTATTGTTTTAACCATGCCACATTATGAATAATTAGTTTGGACTCAAATAGCTTTCCAAGAGAGGACTTTCATATATGTTCGTATTTGCAAAACAAACTGTAAAAATTCATACAGAGAAATATGCTGATTAGCCGCTTTGATAACCATGTGACTTCATGAATATTTATTACCTCAGTCCTCAGTCCCTATTACGTGATTTAAAAGGGGTTTAAAAGAATGTTGACTTTAGTTTTCATTGACTCAGAACAATTATCATACCCCATTTCTATACATCTACCTTTATTTTATTTTCAGCTATTCTCTAACCCTGGTTGATGCATTAGATACATTAATAGTGATGGGGAACACCACAGAATTTATACGAATAGCCAACCTACTTATTGATAAATCTCAAGATTTCTTTGATATTGATATCAATGTTTCTGTTTTTGAAACTAATATCAGAGGTGAGGCTTGTTGCATTACAGTTTTGTGTCTTAGACTTTCTACATAGAAATTTGAAAAGAATGTGAACTGTGAATTGTGTCTAGATGGCTTATTGCATTGTATTCACTTATGTTAAATATTTTATTAATTTCAATTTTGCATATGATTTTTTACAGAATATAGTGTATGAATAAGGTTTCAAAAACAAGATTAGCTAATGCTACTCTGTTATCTTTCCTCATTATTCTGGTTGATTCCAGGGAAGATCAATGTCAAGGTTCTTTTTTTTATTACAGTGGTGGGAGGTTTACTGTCAGCCCATCTATTTATGAAGAGGGCTGGAATGACCCTAGAGCCAGGCTGGCCATGTTCTGGGCCCCTATTACGCATGGCCGAAACAGTCGCTAGAAAAATATTACCAGGTTAGTACATTCGACTTGAAACATTTTTTTTAGAAAGAATCCAAGCCATGCTCAAGGAGAAAATTAACTCCTACATCGCTATGCTTTCTTCCTAATCCTTAGTTTCATGCGTTGCCTAAGCCATGCATTTTGAGCTCAGCTTGTGAAAAATATTAAGAAAAAATTGTGTTTTTGTCTTCTGATTGGTGTTAACTTGTGGAATGGAATGGAAAAGCACACATTAGAAAATGTTCTTAAGACTAAAATTAAACATATTTGAGATACTGTCAGTCATGACTGGTAAGAACAACCAAATCAACAACCCTTAAGAGATTTTAGAATATAGCCTAGTACTGGTATTGCAATATGATTTTTATTGAATTTACAATAAACAGTTTTTGATCCTCTGAAATTTTCTATTTGTAGCATTTGATACACCAACTGGTATGCCGTATGGTACAGTGAATCTACGAAATGGAGTACCACCAGGGGAGACAACTATAACCTGTACAGCAGGAGTGGGCACATTCCTGATAGAGTTTGGTACCCTCAGTAGATTAGTTGGTGACCCAATATTTGAAAAAGTTGCCATTAAAGCTATGAGATCTTTGTGGGAAAATAGATCAACATTAGGAATGGTGAGATTCTTCAGTTGATTTTTCTCTGTCACTGTGACTCAAGTTCAAGATAGCATCATTGAATCTTTCAACCTGGGTCCTCTTGAAAAAGTTTTTTGCAGGTGGGAAAATAAGCAGTCCCCTGGGTGCTTCAAGCTAATTCAGCACTACGCCAAGCATTGTTTTTTAATTCCTTTATAGGTGTGGAAACCCAACACTGGGCTGACCCTGTGGCACCAACATTTTTTTTACCCTCTTGGAGATTTAGATTCGCAGCACCTAATGGCCTCCCAGACAAAAAGCCCAACTTGCTATAATGAGTTATTTCCCTTTCATTTATACAACATTTTAAATGCGTTCTTATTTCAGATTGGTAACCATGTTGACGTAGCAACAGGAAAGTGGATAGCATTGGATTCTGGGATTGGTGGAGGAATTGATTCATATTTTGAATATTTAGTGAAAGGTTCAGTGATGTTTAATATCCCAGAACTACAGGAGATGTTCAGAGGTAGGTCTTGACACATTTTTCATACACTCACTTTAAAATCTATATTATTTCAGTTGGAGCTCTGTGGACTCATCCCCAATGGGAGATTTCCCAAACTACAAAGTGCTGTAGCTGGATTTTGTTTTTCTGTACTACATTTGATACTGTAATATTGTTAATTTTGGGGTGGGAGCACCATTTTTTTTTGTGATTTTATAGGTCATCCCCACTAGGAGATGTTCATAAGTACTGTAAACCTGTTCTGAAATTTGTGTTTTTATAACCACATTTCATACAGAATATAGTTATTATTTGGGGTGGGAGGTTTTGCAGATTTTGTGGATCACCACCCAATTTTGACACCAGTACTAGCTAGGATATTTAAACTACAGGAGGTAGTAGGTACTGCTTGGCAAATATTTTTATTTGAACTTTATTTAAACTGTAAGTGGGTGTATATTACTTGCCTGGCAGCTATCTTTTACACGAAAGAAGCTGGAGACTGTTTAAGGCAAAAATATGCAGTGTATAACAGATTTAACAGATATATCATCTATTTGGGATGCAATCACGGCAATGTCACAAATTTTCAAAGTTCAGCTCTAATTTGGCTGTCAGTTAGTGGAACCAAGAAATCACAATATTCCCAGAATTCACAATATTGGAATATATCAAATATATTTTGAAGCCCCCAATCCCACATACATTTTCCCCAAACCCCCCCCCCCCCCCCCTCCATTTCACAAAAAAGAGAACATTTCAGTGATTGTGAATCTTTATTATACTAAGAATTTTAGTGCAGTCACCCACAAGTAAGTCCTCTAAAAAAAATAACCCCCTCAAACTCTCCAAAAAAGAGACAAATTTAGTGATAGTGTCTCTTTAATATAAGAGTTTCAATTCAGTCAGACTGATACTAATTTCGAACAATGATAACAATCCTTGATTACCAATTTGATCTTAGACTGAAGATTTAAACCATGACCAAGAGATGAAAAGTGTTCACTCTATTGTCAGTCTTTTGTTTTGAAACTGTGGGTATGGAGACCAAGATATTTTAACCAACCCCAGCTTGAGGGTGAGTAGAATTCAGGGGTTATAGTCAGGTTGACAACAACAGTGTACAGCCTCATTCAGTCTGCAAACGTCCCAGGGTTCACTTCTTGTTGCTAGGAAAGCAGAAGAAAACTTTTGATGGAGATTTTCAACATTCTTTTTGAGCTGAAATAAAAGGCAAGTATTGAGCTAGTTTTGTTATTTTATGGTGTACATTTTGGATGAATATCTAATGGACAAAGTAGTTTATGTATTAAAAATGATTTGGGGAATTTTTTGATACTAGACTTAGTTTAGAAAATTCTTTCATGTTTGTCTCACAATGTGTGCATTTGAATTTAGTTTGATGTAGGATGACTTTTTAAAAACATTCATTCAGCACAAAGATCTACAGATATTCTTGAATGAAATTCAGACATGGCTGGCAAATACTGTAAAATATAAAAAATCAAGCCCACCAGGTGTCTTAAAATTTAGCCAAACCAACATGCTTGTTAACAGCCCTGATCTGGTGTTTCAGTAGTTCAGTTATACCCTTTGTTTTTTGATGGATTTCAACTGCCATTTTCTTTTTGATTTGTAGATTTCTGGCGAATGTTTTATACAGATATCAATTTGAATTTTGGTTAATCTTATAATGCTCCACTTCAAAGTTGGTAAGTACAAATTTAATTTAATCCTGGATTTAAATTTTCATATTAAGCTAAGAAATATTTAGGACAAAGATACTGTTAGATATTTTCTCATTTATGTTTGATATATGGTACTTCCTCATGTGAAAACCAATGTTTCGCCAATATGGTGTTCAGATTTCAGGTTTTGTTTTGCGGTTAGTATTTGGTTTATTTATCCGCATGAGAAAGTACATTAGCTGCTATCAATGTTTCTCCAGGAGGTTGTTTGAGTTTCGTTTTGTTATTCAGATCGTTAGTAGTTGGTTAATGTATTATTACCGGTACCTATATCCCAAATAGATATGAGACAGAGGAGCCTTTTTGGTTTGGACTTTAGATCAAGAAGTAAAGTAAGCAAGCCCACTGAACAGTAATTAAAGGGAAACAGTAAAAATATTCTGAAATGGAAATTTTACATGAATGAAAAATAAAGTAGACTGAATTAAAAATAGTAATTAAGTTGTATTAGGTTAGATTGAGAATAAAGTAAACTGAATTAAGAATAGGAATTAAGTTGTATTAGGTTAGATTGAGAATAAAGTAGACTGAATTAAGAATAGTAATTAAGTTGTATTAGGTTAGATTGAGAATAAAGTAAACTGAATTAAGAATATGAATTAAGTTGTATTAAGTTAGATTGAGAATAAAGGAGACTGAATTAAGAATAGGAATTACGTTGTATTAGGTTAGATTGAGAATAAAGGAGACTGAATTAAGAATAGGAATTAAGTTGTATTAGGTTAGATTGAGAATAAAGTAGACTGAATTAAGAATAGGAATTAAGTTGTATTAGGTTAGATTGAGAGTAAAGTAAACTGAATTAAGAATAGGAATTAAGATGTATTAGGTTAGATTGAGAATAAAGTAGACTGAATTAAGAATAGGAATTAAGTTGTATTAGGTTAGATTGAGAATAAAGGAGACTGAATTAAGAATAGGAATTAAGTTGTATTAGGTTAGTTTGAGAATAAAGTAGACTGAATTAAGAATAGGAATTAAGTTGTATTAGGTTAGATTGAGAGTAAAGTAAACTGAATTAAGAATAGGAATTAAGTTGTATTAGGTTAGATTGAGAATAAAGGAGACTGAATTAAGAATAGGATTTACGTTGTATTAGGTTAGATTGAGAATAAAGTAGGCTGAATTAAGAATAGGAATTACGTTGTATTAGGTTAGATTGAGAATAAAGTAGACTGAATTAAGAATAGGAATTAAGTTGTATTAGGTTAGATAGAGAATAAAGTAGACTGAATTAAGAATAGGAATTAAGTTGTATTAGGTTAGATTGAGAATAAAGTAGGCTGAATTAAGAATAAGAATTAAGTTGTATTAGGTTAGATTGAGAATAAAGTAGTTTGAATTAAGAATATGAATTAAGTTGTATTAGGTTAGTTTGAGAATAAAGTAGACTGAATTAAGAATAGGAATTAAATTGTATTAGGTTAGATTGAGAATAAAGTAGGCTGAATTAAGAATAGGAATTAAGTTGTATTAGGTTAGATTGAGAATAAAGTAGACTGAATTAAGAATAGGAATTAAGTTGTATTAAATTAGATTGAGAATAAAGTAGGCTGAATTAAGAATAGGAATTAAGATGTATTAGGTTAGATTGAGAATAAAGTAAACTGAATTAAGAATAGGAATTAAGTTGTATTAGGTTAGATTGAGAATAAAGTAGACTGAATTAAGAATAAGAATTAAGTTGTATTAAATTAGATTGAGAATAAAGTAAACTGAATTAAGAATAGGAATTAAGATGTATTAGGTTAGATTGAGAATAAAGTAAACTGAATTAAGAATAAGAATTAAGTTGTATTAGGTTAGATTGAGAATAAAGGAGACTGAATTAAGAATAGGAATTACGTTGTATTAGGTTAGATTGAGAATAAATTAGACTGAATTAAGAATAGGAATTAAGTTGTATTAGGTTAGATTGAGAATAAAGTAGGCTGAATTAAGAATAGGAATTAAGTTGTATTAGGTTAGATTGAGAATAAAGTAAACTGAATTAAGAATAGGAATTAAGTTGTATTAGGTTAGATTGAGAATAAAGTAGGCTGAATTAAGAATAAGAATTAAGTTGTATTAGGTTAGATTGAGAATAAAGGAGACTGAATTAAGAATAGGAATTAAGTTGTATTAGGTTAGATCGAGAATAAAGTAGGCTGAATTAAGAATAAGAATTAAGCTGTATTAGGTTAGATTGAGAATAAAGTAGACTGAATTAAGAATAAGAAATAAAGTTGTGTTAGGTTAGATCGAGAATAAAGTAGGCTGAATTAAGAATAAGAATTAAGCTGTATTAGGTTAGATTGAGAATAAAGTAGACTGAATTAAGAATAAGAAATAAAGTTGTGTTAGGTTAGATTGAGAATAAAGTAAACTGAATTAAGAATAGGAATTAAGTTGTATTAGGTTAGATTGAGAATAAAGTAGGTTGAATTAAGAATAGGAATTAAGTTGTATTAGGTTAGATTGAGAATAAAGTAGACTGAATTAAGAATAGGAATTAAGTTGTATTAGGTTAGATCGAGAATAAAGTAGGTTGAATTAAGAATAGGAATTAAGTTGTATTAGGTTAGATTGAGAATAAAGTAGACTGAATTAAGAATAGGAATTAAATTGTATTAGGTTAGATTGAGAATAAAGTAGACTGAATTAAGAATAGGAATTATGTTGTATTAGGTTAGATTGAGAATAAAGTAAACTGAATTAAGAATAGGAATTAAGTTGTATTAGGTTAGATTGAGAATAAATTAGACTGAATTAAGAATAGGAATTAAGTTGTATTAGGTTAGATTGAGAATAAAGTAGACTGAATTAAGAATAGGATTTAAATTGTATTAGGTTAGATTGAAAGTTGAATTGGTTGAATAAAAATATGGCTGAATTGAAAACAAGACAAGAGAGTGACAACTTGTAAGAAACAGGAGACTATCAGACTAAAACAGTTGTCTGAAAATAGAATTAGATCTCTTTATAAAACAAAAACTATAAAAATACATAAAATAAAGTTAAAATGTTGATTTGATTCACTCATTGGCTGTTTTCACTTCCTGATGAACCAAAGTAAAGTATGAATGTGTTTTAATCTATCTGATACTTTCTCTCTATCCAACTGCTTGAAGAGAAAAAAATGACTTCTTTAGGCTCTGAGGGAAGTCTGGCCAAATTTTCTCTTCCCAATTCAAGTCTTATTCCCCACTGTGGTCTATAATCTGATGAACTGTGTATCATATAAGATGTAAAGAATGAATGTTTAAAACTCATCAGATTTATAAAGGTTGATTTCATGTGGACAA